TGAGCCGGTTGAGTATATGAGCATCCCACCAGGGGCGTGCAGTAGAGGAGGGCTGTGCACAGGGCTCTGGGCAGCCTGGGTTCAGTGGGACCTGGGGCACGCCAGCCCTTGGAGGTTGGTGCTACTCACTCTGAAGCCTCTCAGGGATGCCAGGCCAATCAAGGGTGCTGGGCAAGCTTCATGACCCCTGAGCTAGCAGGCCCCATGCCTGGTGGTATGGATCTACTGCACAGGCCTGTCCATGGGGTGGGTCAGGTCGGGGTGCTGCACCTAGGAAGGGACACAGGAGCTTCCTGACAGGAGCTGGGCCTTCATTTCTCCCTCTCTTCTTTCTTCCCCCACAGATGTGCACTCCTGCCAACACCCCTGCCACACCCCCCAACTTCCCTGACGCCCTCACCATGTTCTCCCGTCTCAAGGCTTCTGAGAGCTTCCACGGAGGCAGCAGCGGGAGCCCAATGGCCATGACAGCCACCTCGCCCCCACCACACCTCCCCCATGCCGCCACGGGCAGCTTTGCAGCACCCAGCTGGCCAACTGCAGCCTCACCCCCCGGAGGCCCACAGCACCACCAGCCACAGCCACCCCTGTGGACTCCGGCACCCCCTTCCCCACCTTCAGACTGGCCACCCCTGGCCCCCCAACAGGCTGCCTCAGAACCCAGGGCCCACCCTGCTATGGAGGCAGAGAGATAAGGGAGGCCCCTCCCCCCTCCCGGAGGCCAGGACCCCGTGGGGCGGGGGAGAGGACGTCTCCGTGGGCCCCCTTGACCCCTTCTCTGTCTGCGCCCCTGTGCCCCAGAGCCCTGGAGGGGGTGATGGGACTCTACCCAGGCGGGTGTGTGTCGTGCCAGCATGCACAGCTGCACTCATGCGAGTTCACGGAGCACAGGCACACAGCCCCCAGCTCGCATGGACTTGGCTCAAGAGTGGCTTAGGCACCTGATGGACGGCACCTTGGAGACCAACAAGCCTTCCCATGAGGACTCACCCACCCTCCCCTGACCCAGCCCAGGGGTGCTCCAGGCAGTCACCCAGTGGAGACATGGCCAGCTCCTGACTTGGCGCTCCGCGGGGCTGGCAGGCCTAGGTCCCTACACTTGGGAATGCAGAGCCTTCTCCGCATGTGCGTTGTGTAGCTGTGTCTGTATTTATACGTTTGTCACTCTTTAAAAAGCAACCTAGATTACGGGGCAGCTGGACTTTGCATGTTAGAGTGAGCCCCAAGCCCCTTGCCCACCACCCTTCCCCTCAGGGCCTTGCCTCACCCCAGCCCCTTGTCAGCCAGCATTGCTCTTTCCTGCAGAGAAAAGGATTATGGGAAACTCCAGGACTCCTCCCACTATCCCCAGCGCCTGCCTGCTGGGGCTGCCTGCATGCCTCCCCCAGAACCCAGGGGTACCTGATTCCTATCTCCTTTCCCCATTTTAACAGAAGAGAAGAAAATTCCAAACCACCCCAGGCTTTGTGGTCTTGCCTTGTGCCCTAGGCTTTGCTGCCAGCTTGCTCTGGATAAGAATGCCTAGCAGTGTCCAGGCCACTCCAGTCTCACCCAGCTCCACACTGCTGCCTATCACTGTCTTTGTTCACAACCTGTCCTGGAATCTTCCTACCCACCCAAGGCTTTTCCCATGAAGTTAGTTTTCTGGCTTGTGATTCCAGAATACCACCCCTCTTCCTGCTTAGGACAGATCTCGACCCCCAGTTTTGAGTGAGCAGGACTAATGACTGCTTCCCTCTTCCTGGGCTTCACATAGGACTTTTCTTGGATCCTCCGTGTTCAGCCTCACAGCACAGCTAGTAGGGCAGCCCACTGGCCCCAGTCCACCTGGGAAACCTGGGTATGGAGGAGGGAAGGGGAGTCCACTCTGGGATGGAAGAAATTCTCAGTCCCCCACAAGTGGTAGGGAAATGCTTTGCAGAGTTAGTTTGTGTTTTGGATCATCTGCCATGTGGGTAAGGGCATGGGCCCTTCCCAGGGGCAGACTGCTGGGTGGTTCTAAGGGTCAGCTCTGCACAAGATAGCACACAGTCTAGATTCTGCACAGTGGGATGCTGGGTAGCATTTTTAAAAAGTAACCAATGGCCCCTAGGGGACCAAAGTGGGCCCCAGATTAACAACATCACCCAGTCCCCAGCTCAGAGCCTCTGGTACCAAAAGCAACACCAAAGTGTCAGATGCCCTACTATCTTTACTAAATGCTGGAGTTTGGGGTGTCATTCGGAGCCCATGTCTGCCCTTGGGGCCACTGTGGGCTGGGCCTGGAGGTCTCAGTCATTTTGAAGGCAGAAGGAACTTGGAAGCTCCTGTAGATCTGGCCTTACCAACGCTGGCACTGTTGACATCGGGAACTGGACTGCTGTCCCCTGTAGTATGGGTGTCCTCTACATCGAGATATCAAGTAGCATCCCAGAAGCCTACCCTAGAAACAGTAGCTCCACCAGTTGTGACAAAAATATCTACTGATACCTGCTTTCGGAGAAGTCACCCCAGTGGAGGGCTCCTATCTAATCCTGCGGTTTGCATACCTGGCTGCCCTTCTGTATCAGAATTTGGGGAGAAGACCCCAGTGGATACCTGTGATCCATCTGCCTAAACTAATGCCACTCACTTTACACTTCAAAAAAGTGAGCTTTATGGTGTGCCAGTTATGCCAGCAAAGCTGTTACTAAAAATAAAAGCACTCCTAGAGGATTCTGATGCAGCTGCCCCTCACGTGGTACAGCTACCAGACTCCTGCTTCCCAAACCTGCAGACCAAGAAGATCCCTGAGTGCTTGTCAGTCATGCTTGAGGCAGCTGCTTCAGAGGAGAGGCCTAGACTGACTGACAGTTAAGTGTCCTAGGAAAGGAGGGGTCTTTGGGCAGAGTAGGCTGGAACAGGGCCTGGGAATCTGTTTCCCAATGGATGCCAAAGCTGTGCGGGGTATGCTTTCAGGCCCTGGCCTGAGCATCCTGTAGACAAGGGAGGGGCTGCAAGAGTGGTCCAGGACTAGCAGGGTGGCCCACAAAGACACCACATGCCTCACAACTCGAGTGTGACAACATGGGACCTTCTGCAGCTTAATTCAAACCTGAAGCTGAAAAGCAAAACAGACCAGCGACAACACATGTTCAAAAGGAAGATGGCTAAAAAGCTAAGGAGCTGAAGTTTCAGGACAGACTCCAAATTCTAGGCCTCCCTCAGCTGTGCTTCATAGCAGCACTGGGAGCTTCCTGAACAGCAGGAAAATCACCTTGTTACTTAGAAGGCCAGTGCATCTGAGCTGATCATGCCCTGTTCGCCACTGGGCTGGTGCTCCAAACGACTTACGACAGTCTCCAAAATTCCACTCTAAAAGTACGCTACTGTGCTGGGTGTGGTGGTGCACACTTGTAATCTCAGTGCCTCTGGAGGCTGAGGTAAGAGGATCACAAGTTCGGGCAGCCTTAGCAACTTAGCAAGACCCATCTCAAAAAATAAAAAGGGCTGGGGATGTAACTCAGTGGTAAAGAGCCTCTGGGTTCAATCCCTGGTACCAAAAAATTAAGAAATAAATCAAAACCATCGTTGCTATCCATGAGTCTGCTCAAAAACAACATGCTTCAGGCTCTTCATGCCTTGATTCCCAGAAAGGAAGGGCAGCACGTGGGAACCAAAGCCTGCACGCGGGTGATGAGCAGTGGCTGCTGCCTTCGGGTCTGCTTTGGGCGAGGGCACATCTCAGGGCTCACAAACCCTCAGCCCTGCCAGGTGCTGGTGTGGCCTGTGCAGTACTGCACACGTTGTAAGGCATTTGCCAACTTTTTAAATTGTGATAAGCCTGCCTTTTGACGTATCCTGGGAAACTGGAATGTATGGCCCAAATTCCCTCAAGGCCACAAGTGGCTGGTATTGACCACATGCTGGGACACAGCCTGGCCCACCTCTGCTGGCTAGCCCCTGTACTGCCTTGGAATCTGCTGGACTCAACAGGAGCTTGCTTTTCACCATGAGCAGCTGCAGAAATAAACATCCCTGCTCCATGGGGAGGGCCTGGCAGATGAGCAAGACACTGAGCTGTCTTCTGCTGTGGGCAGGCTCCTCCTCTGACTTAGAAGGCCAGTGCAAAGACAGAAGGGCTTCTTGTGCTGCGAGAGTGCTGGACACCAGGCCACACCCAGGTCTGCTGGGTGTCCCCAGGGTCTCTCCAGTGGCCCCACCAGGGCTGTCTGAAAACACACAGCAGCCAGCCCATAGAACCACACTGTCCCACTGACTGCCGCCCTGCAGGTCTCAGAGGGGCTCTGCCCAGCATCGCTCCCCAGCCAAGGACAGATGAGTCTTTGACTTGGATCTACCTCCCTGGGTGGGAGGCCGATGGGCTTGGCCAAGATGGCATCTTCGTGCAAGGTTGTTTGTAACTCCTGCGGTTGGAAAGGGTTTCTCTCTGGGCTGGTAGCCACAGCTTATACTTGGGTAATATGTATATTTCAAATGAGCCTTAAAAGAACTCAGCTGTTTGGGGGTAGGTAAGACTGAGTTCTGGGGAGGACAGTAGTGGCTCTCCTTTTTGCCAAGGCCTTGTCAGTGGCATACCACGTGGCACCAGGCACCTGTGGGTAAAATCCTGCTCTGCCCTTAGGAGCCATTTCTGAGCTGGGGCCACAGCTCCCCTGGCTGCATTGGAGAAGGATGAGAGCTGAGCCCCCCACTGCCCCTGACAGTACCCAGCAGGTGTGGCCTCTTGGGCAAGGACCAGAGAGTTAGGGCCTCATCCTATGAGCCTGGGCCTGTTGAGACCCTTGGTCTGCCCCCATACAGCTGAGGCAGCTCAGAGCATGTGGTCACTGTGGTAATTTGGCAAAGGATGAAGGTTTGTTTCGAGTCTCTGCTGACACTCAGCCTGGGTGGCTGTGGGCAAGGGCGCTGGGAGCCTGAGCCCCGGTGGCCACTAGAGAAGGGACCAGCAAGTCCCACCCATGTAGAGAAGGCAAGGCCACTCTCTGCAGAGAGCACCCAGCCAGTCCCCTCATCCATGGTCAGAAAGATGGAAGATTTTATTCTGGGAAGAAGTTGCCAAAATACTCATCTGTGACATGGAGGTGGGGCTGGGGCTGTGCGAACCAGTGGCCCCCGAAGTGGCTTGGAGAGGTGAGTCACTGGGGTTCGGCGGAGCTTGGCCTCATTTGAACACAGTCCTTGGAAAAAGAAACAACCAGTCAGGCCAGGGGTGGTCTCAGGTGAGTAGCTGGTGAGGGCAATGGGGACCAGTAGGAATGGTCAGGCATGCTGAGTCCCCAGACACTGATGGCCTCCCAGGCCAGGGGCTCCCCCTCCACACCACTCCCTGGCAGAGCCTGGAGCCCAGCCCTTGGTCCTCCCCAGGACCCTCCCCTCTCCAGCTCACTGCTGGACAGTTCTCCCCGCCAGCCCCCAGGTCCAAGATTCTAGTGAACACTGGCGTGGGGCTGAGATCTCGCCCCAAACCTGTATAGAGTTGTTTTCATCACTGAAATGGAACAGAGCAGTCAGCAGTAGCAACAGGAAGGCGGGAAAACAGCAGAGGCGTGAAAAAGGCAAGGGAGAGCAAGACAGGAGAGGGGAAGGGAGGGACGGGAACCTCCAAAAGGAGCAGGCCAGGTGGAGCCCAGGGCAGGGGGCAGGGGGTGATCCCTGGCTCTGTGTTCTGAGGCTGGTCTCTAAATTGCCAGTGAGAGCTTGTGACCTCCTGGTTTGCTTTTCCCACCAGATGCATGGGCTGTGAGCAAGGGAAGCTGCTAGACTCAAAACAGGCCTGTGGTGCTCGGCCCGGAAGGGATGGTGCAATCCTGGAATACCCTAGGAGCGTTGCACCCATTTCCTCGTGGATCAGCTAAGAAGTAAACAGAAACAATCCAATTCATGACAGCAGTTACCAACATGAAAGAAAAAGATGCACACGGTCAAATTTGGTTCCCATGGGAAACTGGACTTAGTAAAAATAATGGCCCCCAAGCAAGGTGGGCAAAGGCAGGAGCTGTCATGGGAACTGCTTCTGATGGCATCGTTCAGAAGAATAAAAAGGAAAGGGATCAGGGGCCGGGTTGTGGCTCAGTGGCAGAGTGCTTGCCTAGCATGTGTGAGGCACTGGGTTTGATCCTCAGCACCACATAAAAATAGAAATAAATTTTAAAAAAGGCTTTATTAAAAAAAAAGAAGAAAGAAAATAATTTTTTAAAAAGGAAAGGGATTATTTTAAAACCATTTTAACTGTTGTATTCAAAATTGGTCAGGGAATTCAAGTGGCTTAGTGGCAAATTCACTTGAAAGCCATGTTTTTTTGTGAAGAGATAAGAAGGCTGTGTTGGAGAAGAAGTTTGGGTTGTTTGTATTTATATGTAGAGTTAAAATAGTTACTTAATCAATATGGGGGGGTCCCCTGTGCAGACCTATTTGGTTTGCCCAGGGGCTGTTTCCTGGACCAGCTCCAGGGCCCCGGGTCTCACCCGGGGGAGTAGATGGGACCTGAGACTTGTGGGGACACAGGAAGGGTAGGGGCTCACGGGTTGACAGGCTCCTCCATAGGCTGCTTGCTGGTTCGGGACTCAGGGCGCAGAGACCTCAAGTGTCTGGTAGGCTCTGGGACCTGCTGGGGGTTCCGCAGAGGGGGAAACAGCGGCGGCAGCAGTGGCAGAGGTGGCAGGGATGGCGGTTGAGCCAGCATCACGGAGGGAGAGCCAGAGGTGGCTGAGCAGGCTCCAGTGCGGGGACCCAAGGCTGCAGGGAGCAGGATAAAACCCAAGAAATTCCTGGGAGAAACTGGCCTGATGGGGTCCACCCCACTGGAGGGAAGAGCAGCCGAGTCTGGAGGTGCTCTGTGGGCCATGTCAGGGCTGGTTATTGTGGCCTCCCCTGGCCCTGGGCATCTAAACTTCCCAGGTGAAGTGACAAAAGATACAGGACTCTGGAAATGGGCACTAGAGTAGGGCAGAGCACCCAGGAGGACATGGAGCTTGGTGTCTGGGGGTTGGGCTCAGGTCGCTGAGGTTCAGCTCCCTCCTCTTGAAATGGACTAATAGAGCAGGACGTGGCCTTGAGCTGTAGCTGGGACTGCAGTGTGTGCCACTGTCGGATCTTTTGATGTCCCTGCTCAGCAGCCAGGCACTGTGTTGCATGGCCATACTTCCAGCAACATGGGAGGCTGAGGCAGGAGGATCACAAGTTTGAAGCCAGCTTGGGCAATTTAGTAAGACCCAGTACCCAAAAAATAAAGACCACCAGTACCACCCCCCTGAGCTGGTAAGAACTAGATGAGACAAGAAGGGAGAAAGTGCTTCATAAGTTGTCAATGCCCCTCGGCTGCTGGTACACGGTGACACCAGTCAGGGGAGCACAGGGCTCAGCTCCTCCCAACCTGGCTCCTGGGCTGCAGTCCAACAGGCCCAGGGCAGTAAGTGGGCTCCTATGTCCCACCCCTGCAGCCAGGTGGACGCCTGGGGACCGACACCTGGCCTAGGCTTCTGTGATGATGCCCAGGGCCTATAAACTCCCCTGAGGATGGAGCAGGAGCCCAGGACAGCTGCAGGCACCATTTCCCTGTCCAGGGAGCAAAGTGCTGGGTGGGGGCTGCTACAGGGGTCTTCCTGGGGCCCAGGTGTGGGTGAGCAGGCTGCCTGAACCTTGACAGAGCAGGTGAGAGATGGATGAGGTGGGACAGAGCAAGCCTTGGGGCTGGGGGTGAGGGTAACGGGCAGTGAGTAGAGGGACCCGAGACCTGGCAGAACCCCAGGTGGGATGGGAGGGTGGGGGAGGTACTCACGGGGGCAGATGGTACCGAATAAGTCACCGGAGCGCACAGGAGCATACAGGTTTCTAGCTGGGGGACAAGGAACCTTGACAGCTGAGAATAAAGGACCAGAACAGGTAGGCGTCTTCCAGAGCTCTGGCCTCAAATCAGGCTCAACCTAACCCAGCCCTGCCTCCCCAGCTCCTCCAACCCTCCTGTCCCCATGGGTGAATGTCCTTCCCTCTCTGCTTAAGTCCAGATCCTCCCAAGGCTAAGACCAGGACAGCAGACATCCCAAAGGCTTTTTCAAGCCAGGGGACATGACAATTAGTAAAAGCAATTGGCCTGGTGCAGACAAGGACTGCATGAGGTAGGCGTCTGGCAGTTCTGTTTTACACACATGCATGATAAATGTGTGCACATGCTTTTTTTTTTTTTTTTAAGGCACAGTCTTGCTAGGTCTCCCAGGCTGGTCTCCAATCCCTGAGCTCAAGTGATCCTCTTGCCTCAGCCTCTCAAGTAGCTGGGACTATAGATGTGTGCCACTGTCAGTTCTTTAGATATTCCTGCTGGGAAACTCTAGTGCATGGCTATAATTAGAGCAACTTGGGAGGCTAAGGCCGGAGGATCCCAAGTTCGAGAACAGTCTCAGCAACTTAGCAAAACTCTGAAAATAAAAAAAATAAGAGTTGGGGTGTAGCTCCATGGTAGAGAATTTGTCTAGCAAGCCCGAGGCCCTGGATTCAACCCCAGTACAATAACAACTAAAAATTTCCTGCTGGGGACAGACCCATAAAGTCCCCACCCCCATCTTGCCCCCCACCTTTTTTTTTTAGGTAATTTCACACAACATAAAATTATCCCTTTAAAGCGCCCAGTGCGGTGGCATGGAATACATTCACAGAGCTGCACGGCGCCACCGCTATCTAGTTCCAAGACACTTTCATCACCCCAAAAGCATCCTGCATGCCATTAAGCAGTCACTCCCCATTGCCAAACCAGCTCCTGGCAACCACTGTTTTCATTTTCTCCATGAATTTGCTTCTTCCAGACATTTCATGAAAATGGAACCATAAAACACGTGCCTGCTCCTGTCCAGCCAAGAATCACCGTGACTGTGACTGCCCACCATCCTGATCCCTTCTGTGGAAAGGGGACTGTATTGAGCAGGAGTTTGAGGTGGGGAAATTATCCCAGTTATCCAGGTGGGCCCTGAGTGCAATCATAGGGTCCAGGGCGACGGAGTTGGAGGTATGATAGCAGACGCGGAGGCCAGTGTGGTGTGCTCTGAGGACAGAGAAGGTGGGGCCTCTACCTGGGAGAGGTGAGGGGTGGTTTCGCCCCTGGAGCCTCCAGATCTCAGACTTCCAACCTCCAGAACTAAGACAATGAATCTGTGATGGCACCCACAGAGGAGCCCGAGCCCACACGCTTTAGGAGAGTCAACTGGCCGTGACGAGGCTTCGTCTCCCACAGAACACTCCTCCTGTCTCTGTAGCCCTGATCCTTCCACCTGGAGCCCCTTCTGACCACCTCCTGCTGCCTTCCTTCTGCGCTCAGTCTGCTTCTGTGGACACTCTCTGAAGGCCCCACCTGCGGAGCAGGCCTTGCACACCTGTCTACCAACTGCGGGGCGCGCCCTGAGGATCGGATGTCCCTCTGCACAGGCCTAGACTGAGGACTGCAGCATCACAATCAGAAAGGCCACGGGCTGCCTTTGGAGGCCTGGGGGGCGGGGGCAGATGAAGGGCTGCTGCTTAGTGGGTCCTGATGGTGGATGGGTGAAGTCTTCCGGAGCCGGGTGGCTCAGCCTGGCTAGTTTTAGGTTGGAATATGGTGTCTGTTCTGGATGACAACGTTCTTCTGTGTGAGCACATGAGTGGATCTACGTGCTGCCACAGACAGGCTTCTAGAGGACTCTCACACTAGTTTGGCTTCATCACCCAAGTGAGGCGAAATGTTGGAGCCATCTAAGTTCAAATTCTGTGTGCTTTGTGGGTCTTGGGAATGAACCATCAACCAGGGAGAAGCCCCTCAGCTCCCTCTTCGGGGGTGACACCCTTGGGGAAGGTAGATGGGGTTGAGGATAGGACCAGAGATTCCATCTGTCCCAGCCCCTCCACTGAGGCTGCCCTCCCAGCAGTGGACCTCCCCTGTGTGTAGATGAGATGCCTCACCAGGTTGCTGCGGGCAGGGGCGGGCGGGGAGGGCCTGGCTTATTAGCCACTTACGAAACCCTCAAGTCACCCTGCTTGGTGACCCCTGAAGCCCAGCCCAGCCCCTCCCATCAGAGCTGCAGTCCTGGAGCAGCCACATCCTGCCTGGGGAGAGGACAAGGGAGGTGGTGACCTGCCCTCCTGCAAACAGGGTGTGACCTGGAATGGTTGCCTGGTGGTCCCCAATAAGTATGTCCCCTGGAACCCAGGTACGTAAGTGTATTGGAGAGGATCTCTGCGGGCTTAATGAAGGATCCTGCAGTGAGATCATCCTGGGTTACATGGAGCCCTAAATCCAAAGGCAAGTGTCCTAAGGAAGAAGAGGAGGAGCCATGGAGGACGCAAAGAAGAGGCCGACGCTGGAGTGAGGCAGCCATTCCCAGGAGACTGCAGAGTCCTGCACCGGTGCCTCTGGAGGAGCAGAGCCCGCTCCCCCTGGACTTAGGGCTTGTGGCCTCCAGGACTTCGAGAATAAATGTCCACTCCTTTGAGGCACCCAGCGCTGGGAGCTGCCGCTTCCTTTCCTGGGTCTGGGGTTGAGCTCTCTACTCCTCAGGGCAGTCTGGGAGGAGGAACGTCCATGGGTAGAGTATGGACTCAACCCTGCCCGGCCGGGCCCATGGGCTGTGTGTGGCTTCTACCAAGGAGCAAATTCAGAACTCTCTTCTCAGAGGGAAAATGCCCCAAAGGGGTGTGCAGAGAATGCTCCTCTCAATATTAGAGCCAAGGTGGCCCAGGTGGGAGAGGCTGGAACTCCAGCCCTCATGCTGCAAGGGCCACAGCAACCGGGGCAAGTGCCTGTGGGTCTGGGGCTCCTCCTGGTCTGACCCCTGCCTTTGAGATTAGGACACAGGCCTCCAGGGACTGGACCTGCTCATTCCTCTACCCCCACCTTTGTCTCTGCACTACAGTCTGGACTGCCCTTCCCAGTTCCTGCCTGTGCTTGGCTTCTGACCACCAAATGGCTACTGAACCTGATATTCCCTCCACCTGGACTGCTCTCCTCCCTCCCCACCCCTTTTCACCAAGTAATGTTTTTTCCCCTTCAGAGGTGTCAGGGCAGCTGCCCAATCCTTCGCCATCAGCCAGGGTCCCTTAGCACAACTCTCCCATCACCAGTGTCTCCCTTCAGGTCAGTTTTATCTGTTTGTAACCATGGATTCTTGCCTTTCAGATATTTACTGTGGTCTGTCCCCTGCATGAATCACCTGCAGGCAATAGCCCATCTCTTGCTCCCCACTGTTTCCCAGCATACACTGGGGACCCCATTTTTGCAAGTGACTATTATGCTTCCCAGCTAGGGATGGCAGCAGCCCTGAGCCCCACTGCCTCCCCTCAGCTACCTGGCACAGGGAGACCTGGGCAGGGGTATTCGGAGGGAGGACCCGACGCCTCTCACCTGCCAACTCCTTCTCTGCAGTGGTCAAGGGTTGGGCCCCAAACTGAGTGTTCATTCGGCCTTTGTACAGAATCCCGTCCACTCCCAGGATGTCCACCTCGGCCTGTGGGACGGTCTGCGTCACTGGTCAAGGCCTCCACCTTGCTACCCTCCCGATGCATGCAGAGGTCCTGAAGTCAGAGCACAGCCTCCCAGAGATGCCCGTGGCCTGGGGTCCAGCCCACGCCTGGGCCTGGGACACCCTGACGGCCAGACTCACAGTGTCATAGTTTAACACTTGGGGGTCCCCATAGGGGTAGAGTGTTGACAGTTCCCCTGGCTTGAACTTGAGGGTGGTGTCATTTCGGAGGCTGTCGCCCCAGTCCTGCTGAGAGCCCAGAGTGTGCAGGCCGTCCTCTTGCAGCTGCAGCTGTTCCCTGTGCAGAGCAGAGAGTCATCAGCCCCTGGAGACCCTCTGCTCCTGGGCCTGGCCCGTGTCAAGGGTGTGATGGCACAGCAGGCAGGCCTGGGCCTGGCGGGCAGTGCAGACACACACAGCTGGGAGGGGATAAACCAGCTTCCACATTCCCAGGGCCAAGCGCTCCTGGAGCCTGGCCCGGTTTGACAAGGCACATACTCTTGATCTGCAGCTTCACGAGTCAAGCACAGGAGGCCAGGGAACCAGATCAGGCCCTTAAGTCCCTCCTCCAGGTGTCATTCCCACAGGGCTGGGTGCCTCTAGGGCCTCCAGAGCCTAGGATGTCCAGGGGTGGGGGGAGGTGAGACCAGGGGGCCAGCCAGTCTGTGTCAGCTCTGCCACTTACTAGCCAACACCTTGGCAGTCACATAAGCTCTCTGTGCCAGTTTCCCCAACTGTGAAATGGGATGACCAGGGAGTACACCTTGGCAGGCTGGGAGGGCCCAACAGGCCAGGTGGGCCGCAGGGGGGGCTCCTGGAGGGTCCTGATCACTGCTCTCCACCAGGAACAGGCATGTCCACCCGGCTCACGAGGGGTTGTGAGATTTAAGGAGATTCCTGCCCTCCACCGCCATTTAGAAGCACCTAACAGTCCTGATAGAACAACATTGGCTCCTGTCCTCTGCCCAGGCCACCTCCAATCACAGAGGGTTAGCAACACCCTGGGTGTCGGTCTTTGGTCCTGGCACTGGTGGATATGTCTTGGCAGGAGTAGGGGTGGCAGACCTGCCCAGGACCGCTCTGCAGCCTCACCTCACCATTTGGCGCTGTAGGTATTCGTAGCTGTTGGCACTGGCTGGCCGCAGCTTTGACAGCAGGCGGGCTTTGCGTATGGTGATGAGCTGCCTGTGGAGGACAAAAGCGTGGTGGTGGCTGCAGGCTCCCACCTCCACCAGGAAAAGGAAGGAGGTGCAGACCTGGACACGCCCACCCTCAGGGCCACCGTGCCTGGGCTCTGAGGAACCCTGACAATCAAAGACACAAACACATGAACAACAATCATGCTGGTCCTGGCACTGGAGAGGGCCTGGGCTCCACCCCTGTTCTGGTCACTAAAGTAAAAGCCAGACTAGGTAAATCCTCAGGCTGCAGATGGAGGCTTCCGGCGGCTGGGCAAGGATGGGAAGGAGACACAGTTCCATGGTGCAGGGTGGCGACTGCACAACCTTGAAACATACCACATGCCACTTGACCCTTCCCTCACAGTGGTGAGATTTATGCCCTGGGTGTTGCCTCAATAAGGAAATAAAAATAAAGAAGATCACGGCAGCCTTCTTGGGCAGCTCCGCGGAGCAGACATGTGCAGAGGAGACTGGACAGAACAATAAACACCATGCCCTTCACTGTGGGCATGTTGAGTCACCACAAGACTTTTCAGTAACACACTGATCGTTAACGTTTCATAAATTATAGAAATGCAAAAGGAAACACAGCGCTGTAACCAGGTGACGGGATACTGAGATATGCTCTTCCAGCTTTCTTCCATGTCTATGTAATTTTAAAGTTAGGATAACAACACATACTGCTTGATATTCTCATATAATTTATTGCAAACATTTTTCAGGTTATTAAGTGATATTCCACAGCTGTGTTATCCAATACACTAGCCACTGGCCACATGTGGTCATTTTAATATGCATGTAAATTAATTTAAAAAAATTTTTTTAGAGTCGATGGACCTTTATTTTATTTATTTATTTATATGCAGTGCTGAGAATTGAACCCCGTGCCTCACACATGTGAAGCAAGCGCTCTGCCACTGAGCCACAACCCCAGCCCCTAATTAAGTTTTAATAAAATTTAAAAGTCATTTTCTCAATCGCATTAGCCACAGTGCCAGGGCTCAACAGCCACACGTGTCCTGTGGCTCCTGGACTGGACAGTACGGCTACCCGCCATTTTCCACAGCGCACAGCACTGCACCAGACGGCGTCCCCGTACAAGGTCGTGGCTTGTGCAGGCTGACACACGTGCCTGTTCACCATGGCGCTTGTCTCCAGCGTTTTTACTACTATAAATAATACTGCAGCTAGATACCTGTGATTCGAAAGGGAAATCTTGTTGAGGCTCCACAGCTCCTCCATGAAGGAGGAGGTGGCATGAGGGTGGCAAACTCCCTGGGTCCCAGGACTGGACCAGCACTGCAGGGCCCTGTCAGGTCCTGGTGTCAGGACAGACTGTTGCCCGAAAGCTCCTCAAAAAGTCAACCACAGAGTTACCTTAGAGCCAGCACTTCCACTCCAAAGAACTTCTACCCCAAAGAACTGAAGACAGGTGTTCAAGCAAATACACATGTACAGATGTTCACAGCAGCACTAGTCACAATAGCTAAGAGGTACAACAACTGGATGTCCATCAAGAGACGAAGGGGTAAGCAAAATGTGCTCTATCCACACAACAGCATCTTATTCAGTGGTAAAAAGGAGTGAAGCACAGGCTCATACTGAACCTAGAGGAACCTTACAAACACTCTGCTAAGTGGAAGAAGCCAGCCTCCAAGGCCATATGTGGTCTGATTCCATTTATAGGAAACATCCAGAAAAGGCAACCCCATAGAGATAGAAAGTGGATCAGTGTGGGGGTTGGGGTTGTGGCTCAGGGGCAGAGCACTCGCCTAACACCACATAAAAATAAATAAAGAAAGAAATATATTGTGTCCAATTACAAAAATTAATATTATTTTAAAAATTAATATTAAAAAAAGAAAGTGGATTAGTGGCTGCCAGGGGCTGGAGGGGAGGTGGCAGGGGGAAGTGACTGCTAGTGTGCCAGTGGGCCTGGGGGACTAAACAGGGCCCTGGGATTGGAGGCAAGAGTTGCACTACACCGTGACTACACCAAATGCCACTGAACTCTTTACTTTATTTATTTTTAGAGAGAGGGTCTCATTAAATTGTTGAGGCTCGCCTCAAACTTGCAATTCTCCTGTCTCAGCCTTCCAAGTCTCTGGGATTACAGGCATGTGCCACCGATCCCAACCACTTTATTTATATTTAATTAATTTTTGCAGTGTTGGGGATTGAACCCAGGACTTCCCACATGCTCTAGCACTGACTACATTCTCACACCTTTATTTTATTTAGAGCCAGGGGCTTGCTAAGTTGCTTAGGCTGGCAGCACCTTGGCCTTCCAAGTAGTTGGGGTTACAGGAATGTGCCACCAAGGGACCACTATTCATTTTAAAATGGTTCATTTTAGGGCTGAGGTAGTGCTGGCGGGGGGTGAGTGCTTGACTAGCGTGCATGAAGTCCTGATTTAGAGTCCCAGCACTGCAAATAATAATAATAATAATAATAAAATAATTAATTTCATATTATGCAAGTATTGGACCAGCAAGTAGAACAAAGTTGTGCTCTTGCTGACAATGATTCCTTCCTTTTTATTTTCTTTCTTTATTTTTGGGGGGTGGGGTGGAGCACTGAGTCAGACCCTAGATAGGGTTGGCGAAAGAACAAGGAGAGAAGCAGTGCCTGCCATCACCAGAAGAGAGGAGGAGGGGGCTGAGGATACACTCAGTTGGTAGAGTACTTGCCTCGCCTCGCATGCACAAGGCCCTGGGTTCAAACCCCAGGTCCAACACACAAAAGAGAAGAGGGGAGGAAGGGGTCTAGAGAGGACATGTGCGGCTGGAGCTCTGCAGACCCTGCCTGAGCGCGGTGCACACCGGTATGTATACAGTGCAGGCCTTTAGGGAGCACAGGGGTGCATTTTACTTGATCTCTGCAGCACGGTGCCTGGGCGGGCACACGTGGCCTTTACCGTCCCTGGCGCGGTACTCACGGGCCGGTCATCATCTCCACTGGCCGGTCGCAGGAAATGCACTTCACCCGCTCAAAGAGTTTCCTGAAAGGTAGGCGGTCGGGCATCAGGGGTGGCCAGGTCCCCCCACTCCCGCCCCAGCACCGTCTGTGTCCTGGTCCGAGACTGAACGTGCTGTGCCTCCCGCCCGTCCAACCCTCCTCCGTTGCGAGCTGAGGGCTGCAGCCCCCTCTGACACTGGGGCCCTCTGCGGGACTGTCTGGGTGGACGGTCAGGGTCCCTGGCCCAGGCCCCAGATGTGCCCCGGCCTCCCATGGTCCACATGGTCCCTTCCCTCTCTGAGCCTCAGTATCCTCGTTTGCAGCAAAAGGCCTGGAGCCCTGCAGCCAGAGGCAGCAGAGCTGCCCACTCGGGTCCCAGACCTGACCCTGTGCCCATGGTCTGGAATCCAGGGGTGCCTGAGGCTGGCAGCCGCAGCCCTCCCGCCGCTCGCCTCCTGAAGCCCGCGGCGCTGTCGGGGTCGTAGAGCAGGCCCTCCAGCAGCAGCTTCTTGACTGCTTCCCAGACCTCCTCCAGGCCCTTCTTCAGAAGGTCCAGGTCACTGTGCACCAGCTGCCAGCCCAGGGGAGAAAAGACAGCCGGTCAACCAGCCACACCCAGCTCCCTCGGAAAGGGATCTGCAGCAACCTGCAAACCTCCATAATGAGAATGAGAAGAAGGGGGAAATGAATGGGCTTGGGCTAAAGCCCACAGCCCTCACGGGTGCCATTGGTAGAGGGGAACCGCAAAGTGAGCTTCCCAGAGGCCAAGGCAAAAACACCACCAGCTACCACCTCCAAACCTACTGCCCAACTGCCCATTCTCCCCATGGTCCACATGCATCTGACCTTCACATAGTCCTCACATATTTATTAAGGGTCTGATTGTGAAGTAGCTAATTCAGCCACTTTTAGTATACTCACAAAGGACCATCACCATCAATTTTTGAATGTTTGCATCATTCCCCAAAGAAGCCCCCTATTTCCTCCAAAGCCCAGGCTCTGGCAACCACTAACCTACTTTCTGCATTTATTGGATTTGCCCATTCTGGACACCTCACAAAAATATCATACAATAGTTGGCCTTTGGCATCTGGCCCCTTTCCTTTGGCAAACTATTTCAAGATTCACCCATGTTGCAGCATGCATCAGAATTTCATTCCTTTTTATGGGTGAATAATATTCTACTGTACTACATTCATGCTACATGATATGAAGCATGGAATAGCATGATCAAATATCATTCCATCATATGGATATACTTTTTAAATTTTTTTGTTGTAGTTAGACATTTATTTATTTATTTTTATGTAGTGTTGAGGATCAAACCCAGTGCCTCATACTTGCTAGACAAGTGCTCTACCACTGAGCCACAACCCCAACCCCTGGATATACTTTTAAAAATTTTTTTAGTTGTAGATATACATAATGCTTTATTTTAATTTTTATTTATTTTTATGTGGTGCTGAGGATTTACACGTACCAGGCAAGTGTTCTACCACTGAGCTACAACCCCAGCCTCTGGATATACTTTTTTTTTTTTTTTTTGAGAGGGGAGGTACCAGGGATTGAACCCAGAGGTGCTTAATCACTAAGCCACATCCCAAGCCATTTTTATTTTTATTTTTTAAAACAGGGTCTCACCGAGTTGCTGAGGCTGGCCTGGAAGTTTCGATCCTCCTGCCTCAGCCTCCCAAGTCGCTGGGATTACAGGCATGCACCACATGTCCAGCACTGGATATACTACATTTTGTTAATTAATTCCTCTGTTGATAGACACTGGGTGTTTTCCACCTTTTGGCTATTATAACTAATGCTCCTATGAAGATTCACATGGAAAATTTTGTGTGGACATAATTTCATTTTTCTTGGGATGAAGTTCTGACCCATGCTATGACATGAATGCGCTTCAAAGACATGGTGCTAAACTAAAGAATTCAGACACAAGAGTGCGCATACTGTGTGGTTCCCTTCATGACAAACATCCAGAACAGGTGTGTGCGCATGGAGACTAGTGGTTGCCGGGGGCCAGGGCGGGGAAGAAGGGAGTGACTGCTAAAGACACTGGGTTTCCTTTTGGAAAGATGCGAATGTCTCAGAACTAGACTGAGGTGAGGGCAGCGCACTGTGAGCGTGAATGCCATTGACTGGTTCACTGCAGACTGGTTGATTTTGTGTTCTGTGACTTTCACCACAGTTAAAAATACAGAAAGGAGCGGGGCGCAGTGGCATACGCCTGTCATCCCAGCTATTCAGAGGCGGAGGCGGAAGGATTCCAAGGTTGAGGCCAGCCTAGGTAACTTAGCAAGATCTTGCCTGAAATTAATAAATAAATAAAAGGGTTGGGCCCAGCAGTTCAGGAGGCTGAGGCAGGAGGAACACAAGTTCAAAGCCAGCCTCATCAGCTTAGCAAGACCCTAAGCAACTTAGTGAAACCCTCTCTTAAAAAATAAAAGGGGGCGCTGGGGATGTGGCTCAAGCGGTAGCGCGCTCGCCTGGCATGCATGCGTCCCGGGTTCGACCCTCAGCACCACATACAAACAAAGATGTTGTGTCCGCCGAAAACTAAAAAATAAATATTAAAAAAATTCTCTCTCTCTCTCTCTCTCTTTCTCTCTCTCTCTCTCTCTTAAAAAAATATATTAAAAAAAATAAAAGGGGCTGGGGGGCTGGCGTTGTGGCTCAGTGGTAGGGTGCTTGCATAACATGCATGGGCGCTGGGTTTGATCCTCAGCACCACATAAAAAAATAAGTAAATAAATAAAAATAAAGTTAAAAAAATAAAATAAAAGGGCTAGGGATGTGGCTCAGTGGTAGAGCACTCTGGGGTTCAGTCCCTGGTGCCCCCTGGAAATAATACAGAAATGAAAGCAATGAGTATGGAGTCACTTAAAACAGCAACCACACAAGAAGCTCTTCATCTGGAAAATCTCAGAGAAAAGCAGAAAGACTAGAATAATTACCCACCACATATCCATCACCTAGATTTAGTAGTTATTAACATGTTGCTATATTTGCTTTATTCTTATTTGTTCCTGGGGATTGAACCCAGGGACACTAACCCCCTGAGCTAAATCCCCAGCCCTTTCATTTTATATTTTTTAAATAACTAGTTTGTTTGTTTGTAGTTGAAGATGAACAGCATGCCTTTATTTTATTTTTATGCAGTGCTAAGGATTGAACCCAGGGCCTCATACATGCTAGGCAAATGCTCTGCCATTGAGCTACAGCCTCAACCCCATTATTTTGTATTTTTGAAACAGGGTCGCTAACACTAAGTGGCTGAGGCTGGCCTCTGCCTTGTGATCTTCCTGCCTCAGCCTCCTGGGGGCCTAGGATTATAGACATATGCCACTGTGCCCAACTTGCCTTATTTTGTTTGATACATTATTTATTTAGTTAGTTTTTTGGGGGGTACCAGGGATTGAGCTGAAGGGTTCTGAACCACTGAGCCACACATCCCCAGCCCTATTTTGTATTTTATTTAGAGACAGGGTCTCACTGAATTGCTTTAGTGCCTCACTGTTGCTGAGGCTGGCTTTGAACTCGCAATCCTCCTGCCTCAGCCTCCCAAGCTGCTAGGATTACAGGCGTGCGCCACCGCGCCTGGTTTATCATTATTATTATTTTTTTGAGTTACAGAAATCATGACATTTCACTTATGAATATCTGAGTGTTTCTAAAAGATGGGGATGCTTTCATTCATAATCATAATTCCATGATCACATCTAATATAATTAGTGAGAATTCCTGACTTGGGTCACATTTGAAGACCAGGTTTGGAACTGGCTCAACTGGACCAGGAAAAAAAGTAACACTGTTTCCTGTGTTGCGTCTGATCATCTGGGCTGCTGTGATCTTAACCTAGGACAATCTCTGTTCTGTACCCTCTTCCTACCCCCTGGCATTGAGCCACACAGCCTCACACTGTCAGTCTGTCTGTTCTTGCCTCTCTCTGTGTGTGCACAAGGGGCAGCAGGGCTGTGATTCCCTGGACATTCTCTGGGTCTGGCACCTCAGATGAATCAATCAAGGACCGGCATGGTTCCCCCAGGCCCCCTCAGACCCTGCCTTTGCGGGGGTCCTGCCAGGAGAACAATGGAGGTCAGCCTGCAAGACGCTGTCCAGCTGTACCACGTGGAATTCACACCACCAAGTAGGCCCCTCTCGTTGAACAGGGGTGACTTAGGTAACCAACAGGATATCACAGAAGTGAGGGAGGGTGCTTCCGGGGTGCAGTCACACAAGACTGTGCAGATTCTTGCGTGTTTCCTTGGGTCACTTGTTCGGGGGGATGTCAGGAGCCATGTTATGAGGCCACTCAAGTGGCTCTGAGGAGGAGGTCTTGTGATAAAGAACTGAAGATTCTTTTTTAAATTAATTAATTAATTTGTGGTCCTGGAGATTGAACCCGGGGCACTCTACCTCTCTACACTTCCAGCTCTTTTTATTTTTTTGAGACTCAATAAATTACCTAAATAAGTTTGAGGCTGGCCTCAAACTTGTGATCCTCCTGCTTTAGCCTCTTGAGTAGCCTGTGAGAGTGCTGTCTTTGAAATGGTTCCTCCCAGCTCCTTCAGATGCAGCCCTGGACAACACCTTACCTGTGACATTGTGGGAGATCCTGGGCCACCCAGCTAAGCTGCTCCCCAATTCCTGCTCCTCACAGCTGTGAGCATTTGCTGTGGAAGCCGTAAAGTCCTGAAGTAATCCGTCCCGCAGCAGGGGACAGCGGGGCCAGGTGCTCACCTTGGTGCTCAGTTCCTTCTTGAGCTGCTCCACAGCATTCTTCCAGTGGTCATTCTGGGTCGTGAGCTTGAACAAGATGCTCTGAAACGTCTCATGCAGCTCGGTCACGACCGTCTCCAGGTCTGCGCGGTTCGCCTTGCTTGCCAGGGAGCTCTTGTCAGCTTTCTAGGGAGAGAGGGGGCGCAGGGGGCAGGGCTACTGGAGGGGGGGACTGGGAGACCTCAGCCCTCTGGAGCCTGGACGTCCAGCCCTTGGGATCTATGTTGGGATCCTCCTCGGGATCTATGAGGCAAGCCAAGGTTTTCCTGCGACAGGGAAGTTGGTGCCTGGTTTTTAAGTTTATGTGACAGTGTCACTGGGTGGTGAGGACGACTTGTGAGAAGCCTCCCAGCCTGCCTGTAGGAACCAAGGCAGAGGATTCTGGAAGGCTCTGCCTGGGTGGCTCCTCTTCCCTGGTGGGGAGCCGGGGCTTGGGAGGGGACCCTCTGGCCACTCACTTCTCGAAGCTCCTCCTCCAGCGAGCTCTTATTCGCCTTGGTCTGCTCCAGGTTTCTGATTTGAGCCTGGAGATTCTAAGCACAGAAGCGAAGGCTGTCAGCCACCTTTGCAGCCTGAGGACATCGGCCTTGTGCCTCCACCCCTGCCACGCGCTAAGAGGGGACAACAGGGTGGGTGGACAGCAGGCAGGTGGGCACATTAGAAGGCGTGGCCTCAGGGCTCCCAGTGCCTGTGGGACTCAGAATAGCAGCCCCCTGGGAGGAGGCCCACCCAAGGGAGCACAACCCAGGGTGACGGCTGGTCCCCCTCATCTGGTCTGCAACGGTGTCTCAGTGGGGATCCCCATCTATGTGTGGCACACACTGTGCCCAAGTGCTGGGGGAACCTCTCCTCCCCCCGTGACACCACGAAGCAGCTACTCCCCCGTGAGAGGAACAAAGCTAACCATCTTGGGAATCGCCTTCCCTGTCCCCAGAGGTTGGGTCACTTTTCCTCAAAGCTGTGAAGGCTTCTTCTACTTTGTCCTTCATATCTTGTCTGGCTCTCACCCTTAGGAACAGAACTCCCAACTTTCAGGTGGGATTCAGCTTCTCAGAACCGAGACCACTTTCTCACAGCCTTCCTTACAGATTGGTCTGGCCACGGGGGTGTAAATGGAGGTGGGTGGGTGTCTTTAACTCTCCTAATTCTGTGTCCTCTCGGTGGCTGGCTTGAGTGTTAATGACTGGAATGTCAGCAGCCATCTTGGATCATAAGGTGACTTTTATGAATGGAAGTCACAGAGGAGAAGAAGAAAAATGGAACTTAGATCTCCAACACTGTGGAGCACCTGCCTTCCCTGGATTGACCATCTGGATTTCTTGAACACAAAAGAGAAATACACTTAGACCTCATTTGTTGAAGTCAAACTTAATTCTAATTAACGCACAGCTCCATCACATCTACCTGGCCCCCAGGAGGGCTTCGGAGGTCTAAGCAGGAAGAGGAAGTGTGGGCGGGAGCCCCTGCTTTGACCTCCAGCCCAGCTGTTTCCCCTGACCAATGCTGGTCTTTGGGGCTTATCAAGTCCAGTGCCAGGGCTTGGCTTCTTGGCTCGGGATGCACACTTAACTACTGTAGTTAAAAATCCAGAAATAGAGAGGAGGTGGTTAGGTGGGACTCTAACTGCCTGGGACACCTGTGACCTGGGTTGAATAACAGCTCCCCCAAAATTCATGACCTCCCCCAAAATTCAGATGTAGTTAGTGTAAGTTCACAGTGGAGTAGGATGAGCCCCAAATCCAATAACTGACGTCCCATAAGAAGGCCACAGGAAGACACCCAGAAGCACAGGAAGAGCCACATGCCCAGAAAGACGTGGTCTCAGAATGATGCCCTGACAGGCTGAGGAACTCCCACCCACCAGAAGCCAGGAGGGGCAAGGAGGGGTGTTCCCAGAGCCTTGGAAGGATGAGGCCTCATCAGGGCCTTGATTTCGGATTTCTAGCTCCACACCTGGGAGGAAATAGATGTTTACTGTTTTCAGACGCCCAGTTTGTGGTGATTTGTTACAGCAGCAATAGGAAACTGATGAGCCCAGTCAGTGGCTGAATTAGGGCCCAACCCAAAGCTGCTCTGCGAGCCAGAGGAGCAGGCTGCCTCCCACTGGGTGAGCTGGGCTGTTCGCTGTCCTTTGTCTGCGTCTCTCTTCCTCCTCCTCCTTTCCTTGCGCTCTCTTTCTTCTTCCAGTACTGGGGTTTGAACTCAGGGTGCTCCAGTACTGAGCCACATCTTCAGCCCTTTTTATTTTTTTATTTTGAGACAGGGTCTCACGAAGTCACCCACGTTGACCTCGAACCTGTGACCTCCTGCTTCAGCTTCCCAAGTCACTGGGACTACAGGCTGCGCCACCGCACCCGCCGGCCCTGAACTTCCGCACAGGGGTTCTTCTCTAATGATGTGCCATCCACTCCGTGGGGACACCTGGGGCTGGTGAGCGTCTCCCAACAGTCAGCTTCGTGTGGTCAGCAGAGCCCGGGAGCCGGGGCAGGGGCGAGGCTGAAGGCTTTGGTCAAGTCTGCAGTGTGGCAGGAGGACTTGCAATTTTCGAGTTGATGTCTTTATTTATTTATTTATTTTTGGTACTGGGGATTGGACCCGTTGAGCTACGTTCCCCGTCGGTGGGAAATTTTTGAGACCAGGTCTTGAGAAGTTGCCCAGGTTGTCACCTCTCCTGCCTTGGCCTCCAGAGCTGCTGGGATTTCAGGGTGCGCCACCGTGTCCGACTCAAGCTTTTATCGTCACAGGCTGTGTCGGTGACTGCCTACTGGTTGTCTAGTTTCATGGACGAGACTGGGTCAGCATGAGCTTCCAAGAGTCCACACGACAGAAGGAAGCAGACTGGACCCACGGCATTCAGTGAGATGAGTCAGGGACAAGTCTCTGGCCTTCATTTTGGCCCAGGGAAATGTGCCCCCTGGGGTGGATGAGCGCAAAATGGACACAGCTCACCCCCATTCTGAGCCCAGAGGATGTCCAAAGCCCTCCTCAAGGCCTTGGGGAATCCTGGGGGTTCTAGGGTCACCCGTGTCCTGGCTTCCATTTCCTCCTTCTCTCTGTCCTAACCCTGACCCACCCAGAGACGGACCCCTTCTCCACGACCCCTCACCCAAACCAAACACGAATTCAGGAGGTCGTAGGCAGCAGGCCCGGATGGAGGCCACCTGTTCCCTCTGAGCAAAAGCCGGAAAGTCCTTACTGGACGTTCCCACCCTTAAGTCTGCTGAGTCCAAGGTGCTTCTCGGGATCCCATGGCTTCTACACAGGTCTGGCTCCCTGTCTTCTCTATCCTGCCTCCCGGGAGCGGGAAGAGTGCTCTCACCCTCTCAGGAGATGGGAAGACCACTCACATGAGATGCCAGGCGCGATCCCCATGCCAAAAAAAGGCACAGACTTCAAGGCCAGCCTCAGCAACTTAATGAGAACTCATCCCCAAATAATAAAGAATAATGAAATAATATTCCATACCCACAAGAATTTCTGAAATAAAAAAGATCGACAATATTAAATGTTGAGGAGGATGTGCACAATTGTGGGGAGTGAAAAGTGGCATGCTACCTTGGAAATGGTTTGACAGGTCTTTTTCTCTCTTTTTTTCTTTTTTTGATTGCAGCACTGAGGAGTGGACCTGTGGGTGCTCTTCCACTGAGCTACACCCCCAGCACTTTTTATTTTGAGACAGGGTCTCACTAAGTTGTTGAGGCTGGCCTTGAACTTGCTTGCAATCCTCTTGCCTCAGCCTCCCAAGTCATTGGGACCCCCATGGTTTACAAGGGTCTTTCCTCCGCAAAACAACCTCTCCAGACACTCCAGTGGAGCACAGTCGCACATAAGCACACACGGTATGGTCCCATTTATGTGAAGTCCAAAAGCAGGCAAAACTAACCTAGGGCGATGGAAGACAGAACAGTGGCTACCTCTGGACAGTGGGTGTTCCCCTGGGAAAGGGAACTTTCTAGGACCATGGAGATGTCTCCATTTTGATTGGACTGTGATCAGATAAGAATGACCTCAGCTCTCATACTTAAGATTTAGGCATGTAAATCATGCTGCAGTTGAAAACGAATCCTGCCACCACCCCAGGCACAAACAGGAGGGACAGGCCAGCGTCTGTGGTGTTGGCAGCTGTGTCCCAGCCCCTAGAGCATGCCCAGTGCAGAGAGAACACTCAATAACGTTTGCTGAGCAAAGATAAATGACTAGGAGTGTTAGGTGGTAGTTAATTAGGAGTTTAAGAAAGTAGCATGGAGCATATCGGTTATGACCAGCCCTGCCTCAGTGGGGCCTCAAGGTCGCACAAAGCAGCTGTGTCAAGACCCCTGCCTGATCTCAGCCAGATAATCAGCTCCTCTAACAACAGGTAGAAAATGGTAAGTTCCGGAGAGGACGAAGGTATGTTTGCTGGACAGTCTAATTGCCAAGACTCCTTAAGCAAGACACTATGCAAAAGACCAGAGATTCCCGGACGTAGGAGAGCAGAATGAACAAGACCAGAGCCCACCGGGCCCATAACTTCTAGTTATAAAGCCATTTTCAATTAGGACCCGCCAGCCAGGCCAGCAAGGGCTGCCCACAGGTTGCTAGCTAGGGTAGCTTGTCAATCCAGAACCAAGGGGACACTTGGTGGAGATCTTCCAACAGTCTACCTCTTTCCCCAATTGTTTTCATCAGCTTTTCCACTGCTGTGATCAAAAGACCTGACAAGACCAATTAGAGGAGGAAAAGTTGATTTGGAGCTCACAGTTTCAGAGGTCTCCGTCTATAGATGGCCACTTCTAGTCCTTATGGCTCCAGTGAGGCGGGACATCCTGGGGGCAGAGTGTGGTGGAGGAAAGGGGCCCAGGACATCACATCAGAAAGCAGAAAGAGAGCGCTCCCCCCCACAGACAAAATATAAACCCAAGGCCGTGCCCCAGCGACCAGCTCCTGTAGCCACGCCTTGCCTGCCTGGAGTCACCGCCCAGTTAATCCCCATCAGGAGATTCATACCCTGCGAATCTCATCACGTGAACCCTCTTGCACGGTCTCACAGGAGAGATTTTGGGGCACAGTTCCCACCCGAACCATAACCAATAAAAGCCGGGACACAAAGATGTGAGCTGCCCCTCCTCTGGGAGGACCCGCTATCTCCTTGAGGGTGCTCCCCCTCCGCTAATAAACACTGCTATACTCTCACAAGCCTGGCTTCTTGCCTGAAAGCATCTCCGGTGACGACACAAGAGCCCAGCACACAAAGCAGTGTCTGCTAAGACCTCATCACAGTAGGATCCGAGTTTCTCAAGACCCCTGTCGTGTCCATCACGTTTGGGCAGACGCCGGTGAAAGCAGGGCAGTGGCACTTCTTCCTGCAGACGGGTCTGCAGCATGAGCACGGCCTCCCTGGGTCTCTGCGGGAGGCCGGACAGCCCTGCTGATGCCCTGCAGCCTGTGTTCATTCACGGGGTGTTGAGCACAGGCTGCAGGAGTTACATGCTGGACGAAAGTCATGTTTCAGGTTCCTCCCAGGTGACTTTTATGGGCAATCATATCCTGATGGCATGAGAGCAGGAAGGAGGACAGGACAAGGCCCTGTGTGCTCCGCCTTGTGCCGTTTGGTGGGCCTCGGCTGGCTGCTTCTTCCCTGAGTGACAGCTACTACACCCTTCTTCCCCCTATGCAGGGCCTGGCCTGGAGCTGAGGTCAGTTCGCTCTAGTCCACAGAGGAGGGGCCCCACGACATGGTGACCCAGGCCTCGCTGAAGATCAGAGGCTAACAGAGAGCCCCGAGTTGGCAGAGGACCACGTGGCTCCTGGTCAGTGCTGCTCACAGAAGCCCGAGCACGCGGCCCTGCAAATCCTCCATCCACACACAGACCCTCAGAAGATAGCGAGCTCTCCCTTCCAGCCCCTGCCTTAGGCAATGCGTCAGTCCCTTTGCAATGACTTCTCTTCCCTGCAGAGTCCCCTACATGCCCCAACGGGTGACACAGTAATGACATGGAGAGTGATCACAGTGCCAGGGGTTTGCTTTGCACCCCCCTCCTTGTTTTTACATCCTGTAAGTTCTACCAAAAGCCCTCTGCCCTGCACTTAGAAGTCCCCATGGGGCCAGTCACGATGACATACACCTGTAATCCCAGTGACTCAGGAGGCTGAGGCAGGAGGATCTCAAGTTGAGGCCAGCCTGGCAACTTGGCAACCCTGCTGTTCCAGAAAGGCTGCAGAGCTGAGAGTTCAGAGAAGCTCGTTCCCCCAGAGTGGGCTGACTTAGGGCAAACGCCATGAGTGTAACTGCTGGGGCAAGAAATTCTCATCCTGCTGACTCATTCAGCAGATGTCACAGAGCCTCACTCTGTTGATACACAGGCCACAGATGGGCACTGCTCAGGCCCTTCTGTGTATGTGTGTGGGATTTATTCTTAATTAAAGTGTAAGTTACACACAGTAAAATGTCCCCTGGCTCCCCAGGCTTCAGTGCACCCCCTTCTGTAAAACCACAGGGAGCGGTGAAGGCCCGGGGAGGAGCTCTCCCCTGGCCTGCCCTTCGGGGACCCCAGGCCTCCAAACCTTGAACTCATCCACACGAGCCTGGAGCTTTCCCACCAAGCGGTCCAGCACGACGTAGTGATTCTTCATGGACTCTATTTGGGTGCCCCAAACTCTCTCAAGTTCCTCTTCCTAAACAAGGGAGACACAGACGGCTTTTGAGGCTGCTGTGGCTGGAAGAGGCCTGAGGCCAGGAAGAAGGTGCCTGACCTGTGCGTTCTGGACAGTGTGGAACAGCCGCATGGGACTCCTTGGAAGGGATCCGCAGCCACCCGCCCTGGACCCACCCTAGCCGCATCCTTGGCACTGCTGCGCCCCCAGGCCACCTGGCAGCTGGCGGGCAGATGCTCCACCCAGGAGGGGTACGGGGGGCAGTCCGCCTCCTGCTTGCCTCCAGCCCTCATCGTCTCAAAAACTCCTTCCTGAGAGGGATACTGACCTTTAGCCTGGACTTCTGGATGTTATTTATCTTGTCCTGCAGTATGTCCACGGCCGCCTCAAGCTTGGAAAAGCCTCCTGCGTGCACTGAAAGCAAAAGAGGGAGTGACTGTGGGGCAGGGAGGGAGCTCCAAAACTGCTCTTCCCAGGCCCCTACGGCAGGGCTGCCCACAAAAATGTGCCCAGACAGGGCCTCGAGGGTCCACTGGGTCTTCCACAGTCACACTGTTATGAGTGTGTGCACGCACCAGTGTGTGATGCTGGGGACTGAACCCAGGGCTACTCTGCCCCAGAGCTACAGCTCCAGCATCTTTTTTTTTTTTTTTTTGGACAGGGTTTTGCAAAGTTGCTGAGGCTGCCTGGAACCCGCGATCCCTCCTGTCTCAGTCTTCTTCTGAGTCACTGGGGTTATAGGTGTGTGCCACTATACCTGGCTAGTGGACACATTTTTAAAAACTCTAAAAAGAACAGGTGGGATTCCTTTTAATAAAGTGTTTTATTTAACCTATGTATCCCAATAAGCTCTTTTAAATATGTAATTCAGTTTTCCTGGGAGGGTACTGAGGATTGCACAAGGGCTTGCACTCGCTTAGGATACACTACTACTGAGCTATACCCTCAATACTGTGAAGTACTTCAAAACCATGAAGCCCTTTATTTATTTATTTATTTATTTTTTGGCATTGCTGGGGATGGAGTCCAGTGCCTTGTGTGTGCTAGGCCAGGGCTAGGCCATAGTCCCAGCCCTGATATTTATGAGAGTCTATGAAATGTATTATACCAAGATTAATAGAAGGGGAGATAGTGAAATTTTTACCAAGTGGCCTACATGCAGTATGGACAAGCAGCCAGAGAGGCCAGATCCATGGAAATAACAGGAGCGGGACACGGCAGCTGGCCAGGAGGAGAGCTTGGGCTGGTACTGCTTGTTTACCACCCTCCTAATCTCAGCCATCCTAGCGTTGACAGGTATCAATAGGGTTCTTTTTAGCTACATGAAGTTCCACTTTTCCCCTAAGGTCTGTGGAAGAGCAGTGCCCATCAGAGGTGCCAGACAGGGACGTGACTTTGGTGATCGCAGTCACTGTACGTCTCAGTGTGCAGAGCCAGGGATCTAAGTGGGCTCCCAGCAGCAGCAGCATCCACTGGGAACATAGCAGAAGTGCCACACTCTCAGTCTGGGATCTGGCTCGGTGTCAGAGTGCTTGCCCAGCAGGAGTGAGGCCCTGGGTCCCACTGCTAGTACCACTCCCGCCCCCCGCCAAAAAAAAAGGAAGAAAGCAAAGAAAGTTGGAATTTCAGGAGCAATTTTCCTCTTTACGTGCCAACTTTAGATCCTAAGAGTCCCTCCCTCCCGAGATAGTGCCTCACTGTACATTCCTGGTAAAAGAATCGCAAGTAAGACACTTATGTCAAAGGGATGATAGCTGACAGCTGATACCGATGTCACTGGGGGAGCCCCAGGAAGGACGCAGGCTGCAGGAAGGGCCTGAGCCCCTGCTACCCTCCTACCTAGGTAAGCCAGCTGCTGCTGCAGGTTGTTTGACAGCTGGGCAAACTCTTCCCTCAGGGAGTCATGTCTATCAGGCACTTGGGCTATGTGGCCCATGGAGCGCTTGACCGCCGCCTTCTTGTCCTGGGTGCTCCTTGCCTTCTTGGCAGCCTGCATGGCCTGTGACAGGGTTTTGGTGGGAGGAATGTCCTTGGTGGGGAACTGGGGAGCCAATTCTTCATAATCTACCACCAAGTCTTGTAGCTGCTTGCTCTCCTGATCCAAGGTTGTAGGTTCAGAGGCCCCGCGGGAAGGCCCTGCACCCGAGACATCTGAACGGGTCCCAAAGGGCCCAGAGGCAGCCGCAATGGCGGTTTTAGTAGCCAGTTTGCTGGCAGGGGCATCGGTGATCGCCTTGGCAGCAGCCTTGGCTGTCTGGGCAGCTGAGTTGGCAGCCGCAGCGTAGTTTGCAGCAGCTGCAGCAGCAGCAGCAACAGTGGTTTTCAATTGCTCAAGGGCATTCTGGGGACCCTTCAGGTGTGCTTCCGAGGCCCTAGCCGTGGGACCCTGATCCTTGGTGGCTTCACCTGGGGAAGGCCCAGCCAGAGAGTCTACCATGAGGTAAGGGTAATATTCATCCCCCTTTTCTTCCACAGCTGGGAGCTCTGGGGCCTCAAGAGTCTGGTGTAGCTGCAGTGGAAGAGGCCACGATGATCCCAACTCTGTGGCTGGGGGTGGGGCCCTGGGGGGCTGCTGGGAGTCTGATGGACCTGGGCCAGGCTGGAAAAAGTCAAACAAAGGCCAAGTGCCAGCTCCAGGCCTGCCTCCTGGTGGTATGGGCCAAGCTCCTGGGGCAGGTTGAGGTCTGGGTCCAACTACAGGCAAAACTGCTGGCATGAACCCAGGTGTCACACCAGGCCCCACTGCAGGCATGGTTTCAGGCTCCAGCCCTGGCCCAGGCCCAGGCCCAGGCCCAGGCCCACGAGCAGGCCCAGATTCAGGCCTAGAAGCAGGCCCAGTCCCAGGCCCAGTCCCAGGAGCAGGCTCAGCTCCAGGAGCAGGCCAAGGCCCAGTCCCAGGCCAAGGTCCAGGAGCAGGCCCAGTCCCAGGAGCAGGCTCAGCTCCAGGAGCAGGCCAAGGCCCAGTCCCAGGCCAAGGTCCAAGAGCAGGCCAAGGCCCAGGAGCAGGCCCAGTCCCAGGAGCAGGCCAAGGTCCAAGACCAGGCCCAGTCCCAGGAGCAGGCCCAGTCCCAGGAGCAGGCCCAGTCCCAGGAGCAGGCTCAGTTCCAGGAGCAGGCCAAGGTCCAGGAACAGACCAAGGTCCAGGAGTAGGCCAAGGTCCAGAAGTAGACCCAGTCCCAGGCCAAGGTCCAGGCCCAGGCCAAGGTCCAGGCCCAGGCCAAGGTCCAGGCCCAGGCCAAGGTTCAGGCCCAGGCCAAGGTCCAGGCCCAGGCCCAGGCCCAGTCCCAGGCCAAGGAGCAGGAGCAGGAGCAGGAGAAGGAACCAGCCCAGGCCCTGGAGCAGGAACAGGCCCAGGCCCTAGAGCAGGAACAGGCCCAGGCCCTGGTGCAGGAGCAGGAGCAGGAACCAGCCCAGGCCTAGGAACAGGAGAAGGTCCAGGCCCAGGAGCAGGGGCAGGAACCAGCCCAGGCCTAGGAACAGGAGCTGGCCCAGGAGCAGGAGCAGGAACCAGCCCAGGCCTAGGAACAGGAGCAGGCCCAGGCCTAGGAACAGGAGCAGGAGCAGGAGCAGGAACCAGCCCAGGCCTAGGAACAGGAGCAGGCCCAGGAGCAGGAACCAGCCCAGGCCTAGGAGCAGGAGCAGGCCCAGGCCTAGGAACAGGAGCAGGCCCAGGAGCAGGCCCAAGAGCAGGCCCAGGCCCAGGAGCAGGAGCAGGAGCAGGAATAGGCCCAGGCCCAGGCCCAGGCCAAGGCCAAGGCCCAGGACCAGGCATGAGAGCCTGAGGTTGACCTGGCGCCTGGACACTGCTGAGTAGATCTGCCTGGGCAGGCGGCCAGCCAGTCGGCCAGGCAGTCTGCTGGAGGCCAGGGCCTTGGACGGGCCATGAGACATGGGAAGGCAACCCGGGCTCCTCCTGGGCCAGGGCAGCCTGTGGAGGCTGGTCTGTGGTCTGCCACTGTTTGGACATCTCCAGCTCTTGTGAAGTGGCTTCCTGTGAAAGAGGGGGCCGAAGAGGTGGGCCCACGCCCCCTCCCCTCCCCCACTGCCCCTCCTGTTCCTCCACTCACTGGAGTGAACATGGCCTCATGGAGGCCACTCCAGAGCACCAGATCCTCAGCTTTGGGGAGAGCGTGAATCCTGTTCTTGAGAGAATCCTGTGGAGTGGGGTGGGTAGTGCAGGCGTGAGCTGAGGGTGCGTGGTCCTCAGGGGTCTCACTACCCACACAGAACCAGGCTGCCCTCCAGTGGCTCACCAACCACAGTGCCCTCTTCATTTACAGAGAGACCTCCCCACCCTGCCCTGCCCCCAGCCCGAGGGAGGAAGGACAGGACCCTGGCCCTCACCACTTCATGCTGCAGTATGCTCATCTTCCGGTTCTGCGTTTTCAAGTCCTCAGATAAGAGGTCCACTTTTTCTGGGCATATCTGTCAAATGAGCTGAGTCTGTGGCCTGGAAGACAGGTTCTGATCCCAGTCCTGTTGCTTCCCACAGTGCTAGATGACCAAGAGCTGGAGAAGGGTGAAGAGTTTCCCAGGGAAGGAAAAGGGATGCCAAAGAGTCTATAGACAAATAAGTCTAGGAAACAATGGGCTAAAAAGCATTCAACAGACTTCTGTACCACAGAACTTATCAGAGCCTTGAATGGGCAAAAGCACATTAAGAATCTCCCAGAGGCAGGGCACAGTGGTGCACACCTATGTCCCAGCAGCTCAGGAGGCTGAGGCTGGAGAATCGTGAGTTCAAAGCCAGCTTCAGCAACTTAGCAAGGCCATAAATGAGACCCTGTCTCAAAATGAAAAATCAAAAAATGGGCTGGGGGGTGCTGGGATTGTGGCTCAGCGGTAGAGCGCTCGCCTAACACGGGCGGGATGGGCGGGACCCGGGTTCAATCCTCAGCACCATATAAAAAAAATAAAAGGCATTGTGTTGTGTCCACCTACACCTAAAAAATAAATATTAAAAAAAAAATGGGCTGGGGATGTGGCTCAGTGGTTAAGTGTTTCTGGGTTCAATCCTCAATGCGAAAAAAAAAAAAATCTTCAAGAAGTAGGCCAGGAAGGCATCGTTTCTCAAGCAGATTGGTCCCAGGGATCCTCTTTAGTGTTTCATAACATTGCTTCCTGACACTGCCCATCTACTCAAATAGAATCTACCCAGTCTAAGATGGAAGTTCAAGTGCACCCAGTGACCTATGAAACAGAGGCAACACATTAGTCATGTTATTTGGAGCAGGTGGTCTAACCTTGGCCACAGTGCTGGCCTGGAGATTTGCAGACCCAGCTTCTGACCCCACTGGACTAGGGGAAGCTGTCTCGGGATTTAGGGATTCCATGTCTTTCCATGTCATGGTAGAGTCTAGAACAGACTTGGACAAATGGCTCAGAAATGCAGAAGAAGCCAGTATGTGTGCCTGCACTAGGTTTATCCTGCTTTTCAGTGTGAACAGAGCTTTCAACAGGAGGAAAAGGTGTTCTCTTTCTGCCGAGTTGAGGGACTATAAGCCTGGAGTTTTTAAGAGTCGGGGAGTAGCTGCCTGAACATGAAGCCAACACAGAGGAAGTCATCACTGAGAGGCAGACGCTGAGGGGGCTGAGGGCCTCCATCTGGCTGTGGCTGGAGGTGCCCCTGGACTTTTTAGTAAATGAGAATGAATTCTATTATTTTTCCCAAGTTGGGATGAACTGGGTGTCTGACAACGGACATCCTAACACAGTGGAGTAAGGGGCACTAAGGGGTCACAGGGAGCTCGGGAGGGAGGCCAAGGTCTGGGCCAGGAGGGTTCCCTTCTTCTCCCCTCTTGGCTGCATTCTTTGACCAAGCACAGGCTTTCTAGGCCTGGACCACCAGATGTCTGACCCGCACGGCCAGTGTGGAGGATGCAGGGGAGGAATTACCTTTTCAAAACAATCCTTCATCATGTTCACGTCCTTCCTGAGGGTTTCAACGGTGACCTTGAGTGGGTACAGGTCAGTGAGCAGATCCTGCAGGGTCACCATGGACTGAAGAGGGAGAGAAGAGAGGGAAACCCTGAAGTTGGGTGTGGTTATAGCAGAAGGCAAATGAAGCACAGAGCTTTCTGGTGACGGCATAGTCCTGGGGTTCATCTTGACTCTCCCACAGCCTAGGCTGAAAGTACCCAGAGGCCAGCAAGTGCTCCCCAAGACAACAGGGCTGCAAGCCCCAGGCAGACTGGGCGGGAAAGAGGTGTCTCTGCGTTACCCAAAACATCTCCTGCCCTTCCCTGTTTGGTACATGTCAGCAGGCTAGGTACCGAAGGAGGGAGCAGGCTGGTCCCTGGGGGAGAGCACCTGGAGGATCAGAGTCAGGGGAGAAATGACCATGTTTATTTATTTATTTATTTTCTTTAGAAGTTAGGATTGAACCCAGGGGCATTATACCACAGAGGCACATCCCCACCACTTTATACTTTTAATTTTGACACAGAGTCTCACTAAGTTGCTTAGGGTCTTGCTAAATTGCTGAGGCTGGCTTTGAACTTGAGATACTCATGCCTCAGATTCCCAAATTGCTGGGATCACAGGACATCACAACCACACCTGGCCTGGATTTACATTTTAAAAAGATCTCTCTGGCTGCCTGTGGAGATGGGCTCTGGAGGGTAAATGGGACACCAGAGGACCAGCAATGAGACTTCCAGGCTAAACTGATGGTTGCAAGGTAAGGCTCAAAGCTCGCTGCACAGTTGACTGGGGCTGTCACCACCTCTTCGTAGGTTTCAGATTTCTCAAGCGATAGGATATGGGAGAAAAAGTGATAAGTTGTACAAAGAGCTTTGTGCTAGCTAGGCATTCAGTTAACAAATGGTACAATGACAGAAGCCGGTCCTGATGGATAATTACATTAAGTATCAATGTTTTAAATGTTCAGTTAAAAGGTAGAGACTGGAAGAATGGATAAAAAAAATGTAGTCCTAGCTGGGTACAGTGGCACATGCCTGTAATCCCAGCAGCTCAGGAGGCTGAGGCAGGAGGATCACGAGTTCAAAGCCAGCCTCAGCAACTTAGTGAGACCCTATCTCAAAATAAAAGAAAATAATGGCTGGGGATGCTTCTCAGAGGTAGATTTGCCCTGTGTTAAATCCCCAGTACCACCAAGACAGGAGGAGGAGGAGGAAAAAAAGGCTGAAAGAGAAATAGGCAATTTTAAAAAGTACAGTTGGCAGCTACAATACCATATTTCTATTGTAGAATAGAACAACTAGACCGAAGATCAACAAGGAAACAGAAAACCTAAACAACACTAAACCATGCAGACACCAACAGTGTCCACAGAACATTCTGACAATGGCAGAACACACACGAAGAGCACTCTGCCGGGTAGATCGCACGGCAGGAACGTTTTAGAACCGATGTATGTGCTGACCACAGTGGAATTCAACTAGAAGTCAACAGAAGAAACTTGGAAATTCACAGGTGTGTGAGAATTAACTCTCCTAAATCACAAATGGGCCCAAGAAGCCACAGACGAAATTAGGAAATACTCTGAGACGAACTGAAAACAGAGCACGTCACACCAAAACTCACAGGCTGAAGCTAAAGTGGTGCTTAGAGAGAAACGCATAGTGGTCAGTGGCCACACCACAGAGGAAGACTTCCCATCAACAGCCTCACTTTCCACTGGAAGACACTGGAAGAAACAAGGCAAACTAAACCTAAGCAAATAGAAGTAAGAATATTATGAAAAGTACAGTGGAAATTAATGAAATTCTGAAGAGAAAAATCAACAAAACTGACAAACCATTGAGCTCGATGGACCAAGAAAAAGACAGACTCAAATTACTAGAATCATAAGTTAAAGAGGAGACCTTTCTATTGACTCTACTGAAATAAAAATGGACAAGTTCCTAGGAAGACACAAACTACCAAAATAAACTTAGAAAGAAATTGAAAATGTGAATGGACCTGTAACAAATGATTAGACTGAAGCAGTATTAAAAAGTAAATACCCATCAAAGTCCAGACCCAGATGGCCTTACCACTGACTCCCACAAAACACTTAAAGAGGGGGCTGGGGTTGTGGCTAGGTGGTAGAGTACGTGCGCCTAGCATGTGTGAGGCCCTGGGTTCGATCCTCCGCACCACATAAAAATAAATAAAGGTATTGTGTCCAACTACAACTAAAAAAAATGAATAAATATTTTAAAAAACACTTAAAGAATTAATGCCAACTCTTCACAAACTCTTAAAAGAAAACAGAAGAGGAAGGAACACTTCCAAACTGATTCAATGAAGCCAGCATTATACTGATACCAAATGCAAAGACAAAAGGAGAAAAGAAAACTGAAATATAAACACAAAGTTCTCAAGAAACTAGCAAACTGGATCTGGCAACATATAAAAAGAATTATATACCATGGCCATGGGGTGGATTAACCCCAGAGATTCAATTAATTCAACATCCAAAAATGAATTAATGTAATATATCACATCAAAAGAAATATGTTATCAACTTTATTTATTTATTTATTTTGGTACCAGGGTTTGAACTCAGGGGCACTAGACCACTGAGCCACATCCCCAGCCCTATTTTGTAAATGTCTTTAGAGGCAGGGTCTCACTGAGTTGCTTAGTGCCTCGCTGTTGCTGAGGCTGGCTTTGAACCCACAATCCTCCTGTCTCAACCTTCAATTTTAAAAATATACAATCATCTCAATTGACACAGAAAAAGCATTTGATAAAATACACTCTTACATGAAAAAAAAAAAACTCGGTAAACTGGACGTGGTGATGCATGCCTGTAATTCTAGCAACTCAGGAGGCTAATGCAGAAGGATTGCAAGTTGGAGGCCAGCTCTGGCAACTTAGCAAGACCCTGTATCAAATAACAAAAGGGCTGGGATATAGCTCAGTGATGAAGTGCCCCTGGGTTCTATCTCCAAAGAAAACAGAACAACAACAAAACAATACTCAGTAAATCAGGACACTTCCTCCACTGGATAAGGGACATTTACAAAAGACCTCGAGTTAGAGCTCAGGGCTCAGCAGCAGAGCACTTGCCTTGTGGGCTCAACGCCCCAGGTTCATGTCTGCTATGAAGGAGAAGAAAAAAGAAAGGGGAAGAGAAAGACAGTGTGGTACTGGTACAAGGACAGACAAGCAGATCAATGGAGTAAAACTGAGAAGCCCAGAAATAAACCCACCCAGCTACAGTCAACCGATTTCCAACAAAGGCATCAAGATTGATCCAGTAGGGAGAAAAGAATCATCTGTTGAACACATGGCACCAAGACAAAGTAGCTGTCACCATGGCCTGTGGCTGTGGTCCCAGGTATCTGGGAGGCTAAGCCAGGAGGACTGCTTAAGACCAGGTGTTCGTGGTCAGCCCAGGTCACTACTGTTCATAGCAGGGCTATGTGTAGTGAACTAATGAACCCCAACGTCCATTAGTCAGTCAGCTAAATGTGGCATTACTCGTACAGCAGAATATCATTTGATAAAAAGAAATAATAATGTGCTGATGGGTGAACCTGGAAAACAATAAGGTACAGTGAAGGATTGGGAACTCAAGCAGGCAGGCAGGGAGAGAGAGGCTTGTGGAAAGCCGGTGGTGGCAGTTGAGGCTCTGAGGGTTTTTCCTGAGAGGCTGTTTTGTTTGGCGTGTGTGGTTCTAAAAATAAAGTTAGTTTCTTTTGACAAGTGGCTCCTGATTGTGCCCAGCCAGACTGCGGCATTTGGTGGCTTGCACGGGAGCGACTGAGGGTAAGTGAACTGCTCGCCCCTGAGGGCAGGGCGAGAGGATGGGTAGCCATTTTAAGATTCTTCTTTTGTTATTTTGTTTCACTTTTGTTTTAAGTTGCCTGTCCCTGGAGATGTGTAAGATGGAGGAAAAACCGCTCACATCTGAGGAACAGATAGGGAGAAAGGACGGATGGACATTTCAGGAGGCTATTATAATGATTTTGTGTTGTTTCAATTTTGTTTCACTCAGTTTCAGTTTTGTTAGGCGTTATCTTGTTGGGTTGTATTATAGTAGAAATACGGGATCAGAAATTAGTAAAAAGGGGAGAGAGAGGCTTGTGGAAAGCCGGTGGTGGCAGTTGAGGCTCTGAGGGTTTTTCCTGAGAGGCTGTTTTGTTTGGCGTGTGTGGTTCTAAAAATAAAGTTAGTTTCTTTTGACAAGTGGCTCCTGATTGTGCCCAGCCAGACTGCGGCATTCACTGCTATGGATCGAGGGGTTTCTTTCTGGGTATTGAAAAATGTCCTAAAGTTAGACTGTGGTGACAGCGGCACGACTCTGACAATACACTTAAAAAATGCATGAATTTTCTGGTAAAGTGAAATACCTCAATAAAGCTGTAAAAACTGCATTTGTGTTTCAGAAACAATGGGAGGAAATCTCAACACTGTCTATGTACAGTTAGGAGTTGCTGCTAATTTTGTTGGGAGTGACAGTGGTATTATGGGATGGGTTTTACAAATTCTCATTTGCTTAAGGTGTAAAATGCTTCTCAGAGAGATCTCCAAAGTGGAGACTGTGGGTCAGCAGCCTTCCTTCCCGGCTCCCCTCCCGTGGTAGCTGTGGGCGGCCCGAAATGGCCAATCAGAAGCTGATCCCGCAACAGACCCCACCGACCGGGTTCCTGCCAGTGGAAGTGATTGCCCTGTCAATTCATCTCAGCCTGGACCAACCAACGACAGATGCCCCTAAACTCGGCTCAGCCAGCCTGCTGTCGGTAGTGACAATTTAGATGGCCTAGGCCCTCCTACCTCCAGCTGCCCTTAGAAGCATTGTGTTCGCCTTTCCCGCCCGGACTTCCCTGGTCCTCACCCTTTGGCAGACTGGTGAGCCTTGCCCCGGAGCGCCCCCCCAATAAATCTTCTTTTGGTGCCTTATTCTTTTCTTTTTTTAATATTTATTTTTTAGTTGTAGCTGGACACCAGACCTTTTATATGTGGTGCTGTGGATGGAACCCAGGGCCTCGCACGTGCTAGGTGAGCGCTCTGTCACTGAGCCACAACCCCAGCCCCTGGTGCCTCAT